AAGAGAACAGGTACAGTATACTACTGTATTTTTGTAATTGCAAATTTACTGTACCACACTATATGCAGCTGTTTCAATAGACATTTGTAAAGTTAATCACTGTATGTATTGTACTGCATAAATATGTTTTGTAACTGCACAACTACCTTTTGTAGAATTGCAAGGCTGCCACATGCAGGTGGAAGGACAGCTATATTCACTCGAGAGCAAGAGGCCGTTATAGTTGGCATGGTCCTTCAAGATAATGCAATACGACTCAGAGAAATCCAGGAACGAGTGATACAAAACAACACACACTTCCAGGGAATCGACAGTGTGAGCATTTCCACAATTGACAGTGTCCTCCATCGTAACAGGATACAAATGAAACAAGTATACAGAGTACCTTTTGAGCACAACTCACCAAGGGTGAAATAACTGCGAGCTCAGTATGTGCAAGTAAGTGTACATTCAGAAACATTTACTGTAATACAGATTGTCTACAGTACTAATACATACTATGTGAATGACATTACTCTTCAGTACATACAATGTATGTGAATTAGAAGTGCATACAGTAGGCCTAATTGTACTCTACAGTATAGCACTGTCTCTGTACGACTCACAAAATCCTACATACAGTATATTGTATTTCTACACAGACAATATTTGACTTGGAATCCTTGGACAGACCCCATGAGTTCATCTTTGTCGATGAAGCAGGCTTCAATCTAACAAAGAGGAGAAGGAGAGGCCGAAACATGATTGGACAGCGGGCCATTGTTGAAGTCCCTGGTCAACGAGGTGGCAATGTCACAATCTGTGCTGCTATCAGCAACCATGGTGTTCTACATCACAATGTTACACTCGGACCAAATAACACCCAGCACCTTCTAAGATTTATTGCCAATCTAAGAGATATTTTATTTGAGCAGCAGGTTCAAGAGCAGTAGGGTCAAGACCTAAATGAGAATCCCATTCCCACCTATGTGATAGTGTGGGACAATGTCAGTTTCCACCGAGCTGCTCAGGTAAGGGAATGGTTTAACATCAATGGGCAGTTTATGAACTTGTACCTCCCTCCATACTCGCCTTTCCTGAATCCGATTGAGTTTTTCTCCTCTTGGAGATGGAAAGTGTATGATAGACAACCCTACACCAGAATAAATATGCTGCAAGCCATGGATTTAGCCTGTGGTGATATAGGTGAGGAATCATGTCAGGGCTGGATACATCTACATTTACATTTTAGTCATTTAGCAGACGCTCTTATCCAGAGCGACTTACAGGTAGTGAGTGCATACATTTTTCATACTGGCCCCCCGCGGGAATCAAACCCACAACCCTGGCGTTGCAAGCGCCATGCTCTACCAACTGAGCTACATGAGGCTTCTTCCCCCGTTGCCTCAGGAGGGACAATATTGCTTGTGATGTCGACAAAGTGCTCTGGCCTGACCCAGCCCAAAGACAAGAAGAAGCACATTGATCACATGTTTACTCCTTAGATTTTTGTCCCTTTTAGTATTGTATACTGTAGTGCAGTGCATTGTAGGCTGTATACTGTACAATGGACAAATTGTATGGCCCTGAACATTGTGCTTTCCATTTGTTAACAGTACTGACTGCTCAATAGATTTTGACTGGTTGCAGGTTCATATCAACAATGAAACAAGAATTACAGTATCACAGAGACAAAGGACAAGTTTGTGAGATGCAGGGTACAGTACTGTAAAAATAGGGGTACAAGGAGGAGGAAGAACAAAAAACAAAATTGCAAAGAGCAAAGCAGAGTAGTAATTTCTGATCAATTTTGAGCTACTATGATAGAACATGTTTTCGTTCATCAAAAGACAATGATGGAAAAATATGAATTTTGTTTTGAGATTAAAAATGTACTTCTCCCTGAGAACTGTTTGTTTTGAACAATGTGTTTTCTATTTTTCTGTGTATTGATTACTGACTGCTTGAGAGTGTATATCATTTTGATCACTTTGTTTATGATTTGAGAGCAGTGTTTGATTTTGAACACAGGTAAAACTGTTTTGAGGCGAATGTTTCATTTTGCGAGAGGAGTCAGAGGTTTTGTAAATAGTGCTTGAAGATGAGGTTTTGTGTTTAATGTTTTCAGGAAATGGAGCAAGGTTTCAGAAATTGTGTTTTAGCAATTGAGAAAAACTGTAAGCAATGTTAATGATTAGTCATACCTGTATAGGCTATCTGGGAATTCAACTTTAATTAACCTGAAGGCGTCGCTGTTTCTAGGTTCATGTGGGAAAGTTAAAAATGTCTCATTGGTTGGAACAAATTAATTTGGTCCTCATTCAAATGATGAACCTGGTAAAAGGTTTGTTTGGCAATTTAACTTCCTTGTTAAATTGAATGAGACAATGATATCCAATTAGTTGAGATTGAGAAGACGTTGGCCCTCACATGGGATTATTTATTTTTTGACAAAATAAGTACTGCCGATTTTCACCACCAGGGGTCACTGATCCCAGAAAGCTGAAATCAAACGGGAATCCCAAGGAGGCGGAACTTCCGTCGCCCAAGGTGCAGGATTTTACTGTGAACAAAGGGAAATAGCTGCTCTCCCTTTGTTAGCTTAGCATCTAATGCAAAGCTAGCCTCTGTCTTGTACCGGAATGTTCACTTTCCAGCACACAGGGTCCCCTTCTGATAGGGAACGGGTTTACTAAGGACGTCTCACTTTCAACCCAATCGGCGTTCCTTGATAGCAATGTTTTACCGGAACACGCGGTAACATAATGAAATATTCGCTGTGGTCTACTCACGCTACTGAAGCGCGATAGACAGAGAGATAATACTTTGCTTCGGCCAACAACTATAGCTTCTCAAATTTCTTTCATTGGCTGGCCCATATGTCCTCGCTCAAGAAATTAATAATGACAGAGTCTACTCGCTCCTGAATCGCGAGAGACAGATATAATACTTTGCTTCGCCAAACAAATGTTGTTTCTCAAATTTCCAAAATTAATGATTCAGCACTATGCAAATTGGTTGAATTATTTATTTACTAGCTAACTAAATAATAACACAGAATACATACTTAATACATGAGAAAAAGTCCCTAGCGGACTAACAATAGCATGACTGCTTGGTTATCAAAAGAGGGAGGGGTAAAGGAAGAGGGAGAGACGAGAAAGTCAACTTATCGTTGATACATTTGGAAACTACCCTCAAAGTAATCATAATACTTTGCTCACGAACCACCGCCCGTTTGGTGTAAGAAATGCAATGTATTTACGTGTAGATGTCTTTGTTCATCATCTCTCGGTTGAAACCAACCAATCCTTCTATGGGGAAGGGGTCGGCTGGTGTCCCGTTTCGGTGTAAGGCTCTGCTTGTCCACCAGAGGTCACAATGTCCTTCTTCTTAGTTGTCTTGGTCTTGTAGTGAGTGTTCAAATAGAACAGATACTCAGATGTACCAGTGATTGTCTTGAGAGGGGATTTTCTCCTTCCCACCTCGTGTGGTTAGTCAGAGTTTGAGCCACTTTACCTGGACAGCTGCAGACTGGCAATGTTCAGGTATGGTCTGGTGAGTTTATCTTCTTCACTGAGGCTGATGTTCAAAGTTCAAACTATTTCAAATGTGTAGCCACAGCTCCACACTTTCTGGTCTGATGTGAATTTGTCTTTCAAGCCTTTATTTGCACTCTGGGTAAAAAGGTGCGTTCCATCATGCTGACACGATCTCTGATCTCACTCGGGGTGTGGCTAGTCACTGTGCATAGTTTATATGAAAAACAATTATCTCATTAGAAAACTAAAATCACATTCCTATCTTAACAAAAATGCTCTCATCCTTAATCATATATTTTATACAACATTTGGATGTAAACTTGACAGGTAGAATGTGTACATTTTCCGAGTTACAGTATTTTCTTTATACCGTCCTTAATGACATCACAAAATAATAAACAATGTGACATGATAATTCTTTAGATCCCCACTGACCATACCAAACATTCAGATGTTAGAAATATTGTTCCAGTGTTTACTTTTTGGACGTTATAGTTTTGGCAGCAAAAGTATTCTGGAGACAAAGGGAAATTCCTTTACCAATACTGAAGAGCAAGGGGGGATTCCCCTCCTGCCTAATTTACGACAGAGTGTTAAGGTGTCAAAACTGGCCCTGTGGGTGAGAGGGGGTCTGGTTGTCGCAACCACTGCCAAGCTGATCTGAGGCCTTGGATCCTCACGTGTAGTCGTGACACATTATATACCATTAATTTCTATTGGGCACAACATAATCTGAAACACAACCAAAACAAACAGCAAAAGCATCCAACAAGTTTGTAGCTTGTTGATGTAATCATTGCGTGCTAGGAATATGGAACCAAATACTAAACTTTTGACTACTTTAATACACATATATGTGAATTTGTCCCAATACTTTTGGTTCCCTAAAATGGGGGGACTATGAACAAAAGGTGCTGTAATTTCTAAACGGTTCACCCTATATGGATAAAATACCCATATATTAAAGCTGACAGTCTGCACTCTAACTTCATAGTCATTGTATATTTAAAAATCCAAAGTGTTGTAGTACAGAGCCAATACAACAACAAATGTGTCACTGTCCCAACACCTTTGGAGCTTGCTGCATTTTTACAAGTGCAAAATACTGCAGTGGTAGCAATCCCATATGAGAAGACCCAAGGAGGGGCCTTCTTAATAATGTATAATTTATATTCCATATCTCTATAATTGAAGGTGGAAGATATTGTTCTTGTCTCTGGAAACACAATCAATACTTCACCTTACATATCCACAGAGGCATTGGCATTTCACTTTTTGATTATTCAATTTTATCGTACCCTTTGTCAGAGTGACATTCAGTAGCCTAATTTTTTTAATTTAATTGACACACAAACACACATTTCTACACATACACATGTAAAACCCACAAATGGATGGATGGATGGGTCGATGGATGGATGGATGGTTGGATGGATGCATGGAAGGAGGATAGAAAATAACATGACTTTCTCCCTGCAGTGTGTGGCTGTGACCTGGCTCAGGGAGGCTTCTTCATGAAGAATGGAGACTACCTGTGTACCCTGGACTACCAGCGAATGCACGGGACGCGCTGCAACGGCTGTGGGGACTTTGTGGAGGGAGAGGTGGTCACTGCCCTGGGCAAGACCTATCACCCTGCCTGCTTCGTCTGCACCATCTGCAAGTAAGAACCCCCACCCGACACATACAGACTCTTATTTTGAAGTGCATACTCTAATTTTGAAATTGTATGTACAGTGCCTTGCAAAAGTATTCATCCCCCTTGGCGTTTTTCCTGTTTTATTGCATTACAACCTGTAATTTAAATGGATTTTCATTTGGATTTCATGTAATGGACATACACAAAATAGTTCAAATTGGTGAAGTGAAATGAAAAAAATTACTTGTTTCAAAAAATTCTAAAAAATCAATAATGGAAAAGTGGTGCGTGCATATGTATTCACCCCCTTTGCTATGAAACCCCTAAATAAGATCTAGTGCAACCAATTACCTTCAGAAGTCACAGAATTAGTTAAATAAAGTCCACCTGTGTGCAATCTAAGTGTCACATGATCTCAGTACATATACACCTGTTCTGAAAAGCAAGGGGCACCACCAAGCAAGCAGCACCATGAAGACCAAAGAGCTCTCCAAACAGGTCAGGAACAAAGTTGTGGAGAAGTACAGATCAGGGTTGGGTTATAAAAAAACATCAGAAACTTTGAACATCCCACGGAGCACCATTAAATCCATTATTAAAAAACTGAAAGAATATGGCACCACAACAAACCTGCCAAGAGAGGGCCGCCCAACAAAACTCATGGACCAGACAAGGAGGGCATTAATCAGAGAGGCAACAAAGAGACCAAAGATATCCCTGAAGGAGCTGCAAAGCTCCACAGCGGAGATTGGAGTATCTGTCCATAGGACCACTTTAAGCCGTACACTCCACAGAGCTGGGCTTTACAGAAGAGTGGCCAGAAAAAAGCCATTGCTTAAAGAAAAAAATAAGCAAACACGTTTGGTGTTCGCCAAAAGGCATGTGGGAGACTCCCCAAACATATGGAAGAAGGTACTCTGGTCAGATGAGACTAAAATGTAGCTGTTTGGCCATCAAGGAAAACGCTATGTCTGGCGCAAACCCAACACCTCTCATCACCCCGAGAACATCATCCCCACAGTGAAGCATGGTGGTGGCAGCATCATGCTGTGGGGATGTTTTTAATCGGCAGAGACTGGGAAACTGGTCAGAATTGAAGGAATGATGGATGGCGCTAAATACAGGGAAATTCTTGAGGGAAACCTGTTTCAGACTTCCAGAGATTTGAGACTGGGACGGAGGTTCACTTTCCAGCAGGACAATGACCCTAATTATACTGCTAAAGCAACACTTGAGTGGTTTAAGGGGAAAGATTTAAATGTCTTGGAATGGCCTAGTCAAAGCCCAGACCTCAATCCAATTGAGAATATGTGATATGACTTAAAGATTGCTGTTCACCAGCGGAACCCATCCAACTTGAAGGAGCTGGAGAAGTTTTGCCTTGAAGAATGGGCAAAAATCCCAGTAGCTAGATGTGCCAAGCTTATAGAGACATACCCCAAGAGACATGCAGCTGTAATTGTTGCAAAAGGTGGCTCTACAAAGTATTGACTACATAGACATCGATTTTAGCATTGGCAAATTGGTTTTGTCTCGTAGTGAGGAGATTATAAAACGTAGCTAGATTCATAAACATATTTTTTGGAATTCTGAAATGTATTGGAATAAATGACCAAACTATAAAACTAGCTCGCTAGCTATGGGTAATTGTAGCTAGCTACCTGACAGGAGTGCTAGCTAGATACCGTAGCTTACTAGCTACATAAAAAGCTTTAGGTTGTTTGTTTTTAAGCTCAAGTTCAGGATTTCCACCAAGGATGTTGCCTCTTCGATCCTCACTCTCCCTCGCTTGGGCAAGGGACATTTAAGGTACACTTGGATGTGACGATGTAAAACTTCATTCAAGGGCTGAGGGTTTAGGGCCGAGGGCTGTCTACTTTGAGTTTGAAACACAGCCAATCATTTAATCCAAACTGCTCAAGTGCGTCAACGAGCGTCTGCGTAGCCAGGCGCTAAAATAGAACTTGGTTCCATTTTTGACGCTTGAAGCGCTGCAAGTCCCGCCTCTCCCATCTCCTCATTGGTTTTTAGGAGCATATACCCACGTGGGGGACTGAAAGATGAACTGAGGTCCACACTCCAGTCCAGTTGGAAGTGGTAATGCACCTTAAAGTTGGTTGCCAACCGCCATATAAAGCCAGAAGAAGAAGAAGAAGAAGAAGACGGAAGGAGGAGAGATTACTAGAAACAAACTAGGTTTACCCGTGTAGCTCAGTTGGTAGAGCATGGCGGTTGCAACGCCAGGGTTGTGGGTTTGATTCCCACGGGGGACTAGTATGAAAATGTATGCACTCACTACTGTAAGTCGCTCTGGATAAGAGCGTCTGCTAAATGACGTAAATGTCAAATGTTTACCCTTTTTTAAATCTGTGGATTAATTGTCGGAGTAGAGGACCTTGTGCATTTCAGGTAAAATAACAACCCAATGTTTATATCCCAGGACAAACTAGCTAGCAACAGCAAACTAGCTAGCTAAATGGCCATGAATGTTTTATGCGTTTCGACCTGTCCCCAAATTAATAAAGGTGGTTCAGAGTTCGTGTTGAAATTTCAACCTGCACCTCCTGATCGCATCTGGTGTGGATAGACAAAATCAACATGCGCGCGATGGCGCACGCGGACTCACGCGCATGCCCGGTCTAGTCAGCATGTTAGTTATTCAGGAGAGAGCTATAGGAATCTCTTTTTCAAAGGAGCCCTGGTCAAGAGCTAGCAGCATTACTCATTATCTATCTCATTACTCTTATTGTTCACCTTAATTGTACTCTTCTTAGCATCCTGACTGCATCCTCTTATCTACATTGATTGCTTTGGTCTTGAAAGGGGTCAATAGGCTCACTCCAACAATGCTGACACACATTCACTTCATCGTACACTGTTATTCAATACACTGAATATTCTCAGCCAGACATACCCTAATGTGACCTGTGCTACACTATCCGTCTGTATCCGTCTGGTGTCTGACCATTAGTCTATGTATCTCTCTGTCTCTCCCACAGACGACCGTTTCCTGCTGGGGATAGGGTCACCTTCAATGGCAAAGACTGTCTGTGTCAGTACTGTGTCCAGCCCACATCCCCAGGACCCGGCAAGGACATTATCGACTCCAACTGTGAGTAGCCTCTGTCTCCACTATCCTTACAGTACTGTGTATGGCTTAGTTACATTGAACTAATACTCAAACAAAAATACTAAAAAATGTCCAACCAATTTATTTGAGTTCATATGATGTGTGTAACCCATTGTCAGTGATAAACACCAGAACTCTGTAAACTACTAGTAACCAATATACAGTATTCAGTAATAAGCGCAGCAATATTTCAACTGCAGCTTAGCCATAGCCTGGTCCTAGATCTGTTTGTGCTGTATAGCCAAACCTGGGACCAGCCTAGCTCAGCAATACTTTGGCAATCATTTCACAAATTATGTTGTGCCCCAGCAAAATTCTATTTGCTTCCATTTCTTTCATTTGTGTTTTTTTGGCATGTTGTCGGTATTATAATGTGTCTTTGTTTATATAAAAAAAATCCTAAGTACATCTGTGCTCCCCTTTGCCCATGTTATAACATCTGGTATGTAGACTTATGTAGCATGTAGTAACATATGGCATACGTTGTCATGCAGACTATGTAATAGCAGTTGTTATTAACAGTTGACATAAGAGCATATGACAACAGGATGAACAATCATTTGTAACACTCTTTATAACCGGTTTTTATAACATCTAACTCATAACTATTTAAAACGACTTATGACAGCTTATGACAAATGTAATAATTTATTATATAGCTGGTATAAAGGCTTTATGATTGCATGCATTAGGACACCTACAGTAAAGTGTTACCAATGTAATATACCTTAATGGAAGATTGAAGCAGCCATGGCTATTGTGTGTGTGTGTGTGTGTGTGTGTGTGTGTGTGTGTTTTACAGGCTGTACGGGCTGTGGTAGAGACATTAAAAATGGTCAGGCTCTCTTAGCTCTGGAGAGACAGTGGCACCTGGGCTGCTTCAAGTGTAAGGCCTGTCAAAAGGTCCTCACTGGGGAGTACATCAGCAAGTAAGTCTAACAAAACTATTATACACACGACATGCTTATACACAGCGAAATACACACACAGTATACTTGCAGGCAAAGTAAAACACACTATTCTATTGTACTCTATTTTATTTTATTATAATGTATTCTATTCTAATGCACATAACATACACGCGGTATACTTGCAGAAACAGTGAAAGACACAATTCTATTTTATCCTATCCTATTCTAATGCAGTCTGTGTTATGCTCTCTCTCTGCACAGGGATGGCACACCCTATTGTGAGAAGGACTACCAGATCCATTTTGGAGTCCAGTGTGAGGCGTGCCAGCAGTTTATTACAGGCAAAGTGCTGGAGGTAAGCCAATCACCAATCACCTAACATTCATTCCTCCCCCTGCATGCCATTACAGTCTTCTGATTGGCTTAATGCAGTTAAGGACCAATTGGCTGATTGGTTTAATGCATAGGGAGAGCCGCACTCAGTCCGGCTTTCAACTTACTCTTGAAAGTTGTAATAGTAGAATGCACAGGGTGCAATTTCGAAATTGGGTAGTGCATCATCAGTTTTCCTCTTGTCATGTCAGTCATTGCATACCTTAGAGAGCTATTTATAACTTGTCAGAAATGTCCAGATCAACTAGCCCATGTCAGCTAATGTTTTTTAGCTAGGTTTTTTAGCCTATACATTTCGTTGTAATATTTAAGTCACTCAAATATCACATGAATACACATTAGACATGGCAAAATGTATAGAATTGTAAGAAAATTAGCTTTAAAACTGCAACATTTTCTCTGCACCCAGAATGAGTAGAATTCTAGGAAATAAGCTTTAAACCTGCAAAATGTTCTCTCCACCAACAAGAGGGGTGTGAACAGTTTGTGTCATGAACAGTGCTTTTGCCCATAGAAATAGGCATGGCGCGCTCACACATGGGGGGCACGGGATGTTTCCCAATGCTGGAAGGGGGGCCTGAGTGAAAAAGTTTGGGAACCCCTGCCATAACTCATAGTTGGATTGCATCTCTGTCTGCAAACAGGCTGGCTACTACTATAGCGGAAGAGAGAAAGGACAGATAGCGGAAGAGAGAGAAAGCCAGAGAGATGCAGGGTGGAATGACAGAAGCAGATAGGAGAGGGGGAAACAGAATGAGTTGTGTCACTTACAATGAGGCAGACAGATATGCTGCTTTGTTGTGCTCTGTATGCACTGACAGCAATGGAGCCATCGCTACTCTGTTTTATTTCCAATGGATTTGGCCATTGCATGTGGCTAATGTCTGTGAATGTGTGCTCACAAAAACAAATCATCTTTAGCAGAACTCAATCGTGTTAGTGACTATTTGGCGTAGTCCCTGTATTCAGAAGATTAATCAGTAGATTACATAAGAGCATTTCATAATTCTGCTAAAAATTTATCGTTTTTGTGTAGACACACATCGACACTAGAGTTTCTATTAGTGCGGTTTGTGTGTCTGGACTGGAGGGTGGTCCTGATCCAACAGGGATGGTTGAAGAATAGACCCATATCTGTGAATTGGCACTTCTCTGTTAGAGTACTGGTGAGTGGGGAGGGTGGTTGGTCAGGGATGTTTGCTTCTCCATTTGGGTATTTGTCTCTTCTGTTCAGTGTCCTGTTCCTAAAAGATTTTGTGTTACATGTCGGTGTGTATGCAAAGCACTTCATTATACAGTTTTCAAAGTACTGTAGCCCCTATGTAATATCAGGGGAGGATACTGTTGACTTTACTTTAGCACAAAGGGAGGATAGCTCCTATATTTGTAGGCATGTTGACTGACAGTGAACTCTTTGTGGTGTGCCTGGATGAATGGGTAAATCAAAGGTTGATTTAATCAGTTAACTGTATATGTATGTCATCTTAACCTCGCCTCCAGGCTCGAATTGCTGGGGCATAGAGCCTGGTAACAGTGTGGGAATGTTTGGAATTTAGGGGGGGTGGATTTACTGAGTGACATGCTAGTCAATTCAAATTCTGAGCGAATCACACGACTACGAGGCGTGGCTCTAAATCAAGGCGGGAGAGGGTCGTCACTAGTTAACACAGCCACAAAGTCATAAACCCTGCCTATTTCTACAATGTATCTTATTCAAATCTGTTTTAAACCTAACCCTAACCTTAACCCTAACCTTAACCACACTGCTAACCTTATGCCTAACCGTAACCTTAAATTAAGACCAAAAAGCTAATTTTAGTAGCCAATTATGACTTTGAATCTTACTTTGTGGCTATGGAAGCTAGTGGAAACCGAGGGTGAGCTAGCCTGTGACAGTTGTATTAGATGGGACATTTAAAAATGCCGAAAATCGCCAATCAAAATAAATGTTATATCACATTAACCATATTATTTTGGGGAAGTCCAAATGATTCTGAGTTTGGGCATATAAAGTTTATTTGTGAAAACTATTTCTAAGATGAGTACTTTTAAATCACTTGTGCTGCTTGTGCTTTGAAGTCCACAATCTAGGGGGGAGGGTGGCGCTAGACGGTGATGGACTGAGAGATCATCCAATTAAAACCGCCGGCTGTTTTTGCCGCTCCTCCCATAGACTCCCATTCAAGTTCCATTCTGAGGTGCTGTGAAACCAGACGGTTCTACAGAGTGAGAGCTGTCTGGTGGACGAGATTCATTTCATGTAAATGCCTCTTAATGAACTGCTCCTGTGAAGAAATGCACATACGCTGGACATTACACTAAACCATGCCCTGGATGGACTAGTGAGTCAGCATGTTCCAGTCCTTAAGAAAACAGCATGTGGGTTGATTACACATACTTTGTCATGTTATTTGCACAATGTCATCATTTGATGTGCACTATGTTCCTTCTCTCTGCTGGGCTGTTGTTGCTGACGGTGATGAACAAGCAAAGATGGCCGTCAGTGGAGCAGTGTCGGTGTGAAGGAATGACATGGCAATGAGAGAGACACGAGAGAGCTACACACACACACACACACACACACACACCACTCCACACCACACCACACCACACACTGAGTGCTCTGAAACAGGGTCCTAGCCATGGCATGCTACTCATTATGTAAGAAAGCATGCTGTGTTAAACTCAACTGGATTCTCCTGAGGGCAGAGGGTAGCCTAGCGGTTAAGAGAGTTGGGCCAGTAACTGAAAGGTCACTGGTTTGAATCCCCGAGCCGACTAGGTGAAACATCTTTCGATGTGCCCTTGAGTAAGGCACTTAACTGTAATTGCTCCTGTAAGTAGCTCTGGATAAGAGCGTTTGCTAAATGACTAAAATCTAAATGATATCTGTGTTTGTTTCCAGGCAGGGGACAAGCACTATCACCCCAGCTGTGCACGATGCAGCAGGTGCAACCAGATGTTCACAGAAGGAGAAGAGATGTTCCTACAAGGTGAGTAGCTGGATGGGCTGAAGTTATGTCTGGAGCATTTTAAGGGTTATTACGGTATAGCTGGGTTGGTTTAGCCTGGTCCCAGATCTGCTGTATTGCCAACTATTAGGTTTGTCCATAAATGTTGGCAAGATAGCACAAACAGATCAGGGAGCAGGTTAGGTTTGGTTGTCTTTGTTCTCTAATACCATCTGTCTCTGTTCTCTTCCACAGGATCAACAGTGTGGCACCCTGGCTGTAAGAACACAACCAGAACAGAGGAGAGACAGAGGGAACGGGTAGGACAGTAGCTACCTCTTGTACCCTGACCTTGTTTGCACTGTGCAAGTGTCTCTTCTGTGTCAGCCAGTCCCAATTTGCCCCCCTGTACCCCTTCCCCTTGGCCCTAAACCTTGTGTTTGCAGATTTGTAAGGTGTAAGTAATATGGTGGAAACTCCACCACTACACTGCTTATACCTAGCCAGACACCACAGATCTGCAAACATCAAAGGGTTAGGACCAAAGGGAAGAGGTAGGGAGCAAAATTAAGACTGGCTGTGTCTGTTTGTTCTGTGACAGACACCTACAGTATGCCTCTCCCCCTTTAATCCTATGTCTACCGGTGTATGTAGTGTGTGTGTCCCTCGCTGTGTGGTGGTTGTGTGCGTGTGAGCTGCAGGTTTTGGGTCAATTCCATTTCAATTCAGTCAATTCAGAAAGTAAACAGACATTTTCTCATTGGAAAGGGTTGATAAAAAAACGTTAATTTTCTAAATGGAAAGCATTGAGAAAAAATGGAATTGGAATTAAAATGACAGTTTACTTCCAGAATGGACAGAATTGAAATGGAATTGACCCCAACCTTGGTGAACTGTGATCTGGCCAGCTGAATGGGCTCCATCTAAGTCAGGTTGGAGAGCCCCTGTGTGTGTGACTTCCTGTGAACCCCCCCTCTCCCTTCCCTTCCTCCACAGCTGTTGCCTCCGTCACTATTACTCCTCCACAAAACAGAAAGGCAGGTACTGTATTCGCTATTGACTATGCGATGGCATCATCCTGTATTACTTTCTCCATGATGTTGCATAGGTCATAGGACATGATGCGCTGTGTGCTGCCCCCTGCTGGAGCCAGCCTGCAGTGCTATTATCTCTGTGTCTTTCATTCAGACCCATATCTGACCCATTCACCAACAGCACTTAGACTTGGGCCCATGGATACACACATTTGCACATTATATCTCATACACCCGTATCGCCCTCATGTGGAAGCATGGGCTAAAGACAAGGACATATTTGAGGAGTAGACATAAACAAATTATACATTGACTCTTTGGGATGCCCAATGGCTCTTGGGGGCGCCCGATTTGTTATGGGGGGGCACAGCCCCACTTGTAATTCGAACCATGGTGATTAATATCAAACAATAAATTCATGGTTGTTTTCACCCAAACAACTCTCTTTAAAAAGACCCCATTTATTGTAACCATGTGGTTGTGAAAACATGATTAATGTCAATGGCTGCATTCAATCAATACATGAATTCAGGACTGTTGTTTCCATCTGAAGTCTGCATTTCTCATTAGTAGGCATGTGGTATTTACAGTATTAAGGGCATTACTAAGTCACAATGCAAATGCTCTCATTCATTTTGCAAGAGGCAAATTATTGACATCATTGTGAGATTATGTGTTTGTATTTTATTTAAAGATTTAATCTACTTGTCATATGAGATGTGACAATGTGGGGCAGTTAGAGTGTTGGGCCAGTACCTGAAAGGTTGCTGGTTCGAATTCCCGAGCCGACAAGGTAAAACATCTGTCGATGTACACTTGAGCAAGGGACTTAACCCTCATTTTCTACAGGGGTGCCATACTACTATAGTTGACCCTGTAAAACAAAACATTTCACTGCACCTATCCAGTGTAAAGTACCAGTCAAAAGTTTGGACACACCTACTCATTCAAGTGTTTTTCTTTATTTTAACTATTTTCTACATTGTAGAATAATAATGAAGACATCAAAACTATGAATTAACACATATGGAATCATGTAGTAATAAAATATTTGAGATTTGAGATTATTCAAATAGCCACCCTTTGCCTTGATGACAGCTGTTCACACTCTTGGCATTCTCTCAACGAGCTTCATGAGGAAGGCTTTTCCAACAGTCTTGAAGGAGTTCCCACATATGCTGAGCACTTGTTGGCTGCTTTTCCTTCACTCTGCCGTCCAACTCATCCCAAACCGTCTCAATTGGGTGGAGGTCGGGTTATTGTGGAGGCTAGGTCATCTGAAGCAGCGCTCCATCACTCTCCTTCTTGGTCAAATAGCCCTTACACAGCCTGGAGGTGTGTTTTGGGTCATTGTCCTGTTGAAAAACAAATGATAGTCCCACTAAGCGCAAACCAGATGGGATGGCGTATCGCTGCAGAATGCTGTGGTAGCCATGCTGGTTAAGTGTGCCTTGAATTCTAAATAAATCACTGACAGTATCACCAGCAAAGCACCATCACACCTCCTCCTCCATGCTTCACGGTGGGAACCACACATGCAGAGATTATCCGTTCACCTACTCTGCGTCTCACAAAGACACTCCGGTTTGAACCAAAAATCTCACATTTGGACTCATCAGACGAAAGGACAGATTTCCACCGGTCTAATGTCCATTGCTTGTGTTTCTTGGCCCAAGCAAGTCTCTTCTTCTTATTGGTGTCCTTTAGTAGTGGTTTCTTTGCAGCAATTTTACCATGAAGGTCTGATTCACGCAGTCTCCTCTGAACAGTTGATGTTGAGATGTGTCTGTGACTTGAACTCTGTGAAGCATTTATTTGGGCTGCAATCTGAGGTGCAGTTAACTCTGATGAACTTATCCTCTGCAGCAGAGGTAACTCTGGGTCTTCCTTTCCTGTGGCGGTCCTCATGAGAGCCAGTTTCATCATAGCGCTTGATGGTTTTTGCGATTGCACTTGAAGAAACTTTCAAAGTTCTTGAAATGTTCCGTATTGACCGACCTTCATGTCTTAAAGTAATGATGGACCATAATTTCTCTTTGCTTACTTGAGCTGTTCTTGCCATAATATGGACTTGGTCTTTTACCAAATAGGGCTATCTTCTGTATAACACCCCTACCTTGTCACAACACAACTGATTGTCTCAAATTCATTAAGAAGGAAAGAAATTCCACAAATTAACTTTTAACAAGGCATACCTGTTAATTGAAATGCATTCCAGGTGACTACCTCATGAAGCTGGTTGAGAGAATGCCAAGAGTGTGAACAGCTGTCATCAAGGCAAAGGGTGGCGACTTTGAAGAATTTAAATATAACATATATTTTGATTTGTTTAACACTTTTTTGGTTACTACATGATTCCATATGTGTTATTTCATAGTTTTGATGTCTTCACTATTATTCTACAATGTATAAAATAGTAAAAACTAAAGAATAACCCTGGAATGAGTAGGTGTGTCCAAACTTTTGACTGGTACTGTATGTGACAATAAAACATCTTCTGGTGGAATTTCAAAAACAAAGTTAGGTGTTGAACTAGGTGTCTTTTCCCCTCCTGTTGATTACGCAGTGATTGAGTTGTCATACATTATATATACAAAAGTATGTGGACACCCCTTCATATTACTGGATTCAACTATTTCAGCCACACCCGTTGTTGACAGGTGTACAAAATCAAGCACACAGCCCTGCAATCTCCATAGACAAACATTGGCAGTAGAATGGCCTTACTGACAAGCTCAGTGACTTTCACCGTCATATGATGCCACCTTTCCAACAATTCAGTTCATAAAATGTCTGCCCTGCTAGAGCTGCCCCGGTCAACTGTAAGTGCTGTTATTGTGAAGTGGAAACGTCTAAGAGCAACAACGGCTCAGCCGCGAAGTGGTAGGCCACACAAGCTCACAGAACGGGACCGCCGAGTGCTGAAGCGTGTAGCGCGTAACAATCGTCTGTCCTCCGTTGCAACACTCACTACCGAGTTCCAAACTGCCTCTGGAAGCAACGTCAGCACAATAACTGTTTGTCGGGAGCTTCATGAAATGGGTTTCCATGGCCGACCAGCCACACACAAGAGTAAGATCACAATGCCAAGCGTCGGCTGGAGTGGTGTAAAGCTCGCCACCATTGGACTTTGGAGCAGTGGAAATGCGTTCTCTGGAGTGATGAATCACGCTTCACCATCTGGCAGTCCGACGGATGAATCTGGGTTTGGCGGATGCCAGGAGAACGCTACTTGCCCGAATGCGTAGTGCCAACTGTAAGGTTTGGTGGAGGAGGAATGGTCTGGGCTGTTTTTCATGGTTCGGGCTAGGCCCCTTAGTTCCAGTGAAGGGAAATCTTAACTCTACAGCATACAATGACATTCTAGACGGTTCTGTGCTTCCAACTTTGTGGCAACAGTTTGGGGAAGGCCCTTTCCTGTTTCAGCATGACAATGCCCCCGTGCACAAAGCGAGATCCATACAGAAATGGTTTGTCGAGATCGGTGTGGAAGACCTTGACTGGCCTGCACAGAGCCCTGACCTCAACCCCATCTAACACCTTTGGGATGAATTGGGACACCGACTGTGAGCCAGGCCTAATCGCCCAACATCAGTGACCGACCTCACTATTGCTCTTATGGCTGAATGGAAGCAAGTCCCCGCCTCAATGTTCCAACATCTAGTGGAAAGCCTTCTCAGAAGAATGGATGCTGTTATAGCAGCAAAGGGGGGACCAACTCCATATTAATTCCCATGATTTTGGAATGAGATGTTCGACGAGCAGGTGTCCACATACTTTTGGTCATGCAGTGTATTTCACTCATCATTTGCAATGGTGGCAAACATAATGTGGTAGCAACTTTAAACTAACACCTAGCAACCTCGTCAAGAGATTCGGATCTCTTGGTGTAACAGTTAATAGGTGTCACTGGACCCGTGTTTTTGAGTCCTGGTCGGGGCTGCCCCTCGGATTTGCTGCAATACGGATTGAAAGAGGATGAGAGGACATGAGCCAACTGAAAGAGAACTAAAAACTAGTCCAGGGATGCCCTTGAACGTGTTCCGAGAGATGTTGTCTTGACTTGTCCCTATTCTGTTCAATAGTGTAACCAACAGTTCTCCTCTTGCAGCCTTCGAGGTCGTCGTCCGAGAGTATCTGTTCCAGACCTGGTTCAAGCATACCTGGCTCACCGGGTCATACCATATATGTGAGTTCTATCTACCGTACATCTAGTCTGACGACTCACAGTAAATTCTTCCACTACTCTGCTACATACTTTCGTCTGAGACTGCCATCATTGAATTAGTTTGTGGTGAGGAGGGGCACGAGGGGTGTTGTACAAAACAAAGTTATCAGCGATTGGATGGTCTCTAACCAATCAGCGTATCAAAGCCAATGACGGATTTTCAAACCGGACGCTGTACCCACGTGTGTTCTGGCTCTAGCCCAACCCATCGGTTTCTGGACCAATCAGACGGCCCCGAATGTGCTTGGCATTTGGTGAAGGGTCAGGGATGTACTCAAATCCATACTCATTGCGGAGAATAAACTAACGTCTATAGGCGTGGCGTAGCGTTTGGCCGGAGAAGGGAATCTGGGTAGCCAGACAACCGTACATCTATCATCACACACGTACTGGACTGGATGTACTGCTCTTATATTTGGAATTTAGGCCACTTCTCCCCTAGGAAAGCTTAAAATAAATTGTGATTCCCTCTGCAAAATTTGTCTTAGTCTTAGACCTTTTTCTTACCGGTACATAGATTTTCTGTTCCACCTTACTTTGTTCATGTTGCTGGACCCTTACTGCCAGTCACTTCATGTAAAGCACAAGGGGCCCTAGGCTTACCAGACTCCCTAATAGTTCCTCTATAGACAGTTACAAATTGATTGTAACTTTCCCAAAATTCCCAGGTATTCCAGAAATCCTGGTTGGAAGATTCAATCTGGAGGGAATAAGCAGGAAATGTGTGAATCCTCCAAACGTTATTTCTGGAAAACCTGGAATTTACAGGAATTGTGCAACCCTACTGACCACTAATACTTGCTAGTGTTAACCTGTCGCAGTAGATGTGTGCTTTTAGTTGTGTATAACCTCTCTCGCTCTGTCTCTATGTATGTGTCGATCTGTCTGTCTATCTGTCTGTGTCCCTAGGCAAAAGTAGACAATGAGATCCTTGATTACAGGGACCTAGCCGCCATTCCCAAAGTCAAAGCAATTTATGACATAGAGCACCCTGATCTGATTACCTATGAGCCTTTGTACACCACGTCCCTGGATGAGAGGGAGGAGAGGAGGGAGAGTGTGGGAGAGGTAATTAGCATGCAACCATGCATGAACGTGTGTGTGTGCTTGCATGTGTGTGTGTGACGCATCATGTCAAAATGAATGAGCCCGCATTCTGAAGTTGTGATCTGTGCTGGGTAAGTATTTGTTTGCGAGGAAATGTCTGTGATGCATAAATCATATAATCATCTTCCTTCCATCTCTCCACCTGGGAAAGTATGTCTGTTGTTGCAGGGTGGAAGGCTGACACTTTTAGTGCACATTCCATTTTTAGTCCAGTGTAAATCCATTCACATTCAGTTTGCTGAGTCATCTTCTGTGTCCACAGCTCCATACTGCGAGAAGGGAGCGTTCTCCCATGCCAGACGACAAGGTAAGCCACGCAATTATTATCATTGGTGGTACATGGTTTTGGTGTGTCAGTTCTTACAGTATGGTAATGTTGGATGTTGGTATTAATTGATTTTTTCTTATTCAGTCCTCAAGAAACATGTCACCTACACCATCCGCTGAGGTGAGTGCCTGTGTCAAGACAGTCAGTGGTTTGATTTATATTCATATTTACTTGGGAGTGGGACAGTGGCTACGATGTAATTCCACCTGCTTCAAAAACAAACTTTGAAAGTAAAAAAGAAAACATTGTATCTCAGTACCGCATTACACCGTAATACTCTTGTTTAGCGTTCAGGAGGAATATAATATAATGAAATAGAATAGAATAGCTCTTGGATTGACAGTGATTGGCAGGTGAGGTCACTGTGTTGTCCACTGTAGGGCTGCTATGACATGAGGGAACGCATCCTCCAGAGGTCCACCAGTCAGGGCTCCATGGGATCACCCGTCTTCAATCGCAACAGCTATACCCCGATGTCACGCTCACCGCAGCATTTTCACAGACCAGGTGAGTGTGTGTGTGTTTGTCTGTGTATTTGTGTGTATGTATGTGTGCGTGGTGCGAGCATGTGCGATTTGTATTGTTACTCTTTACAGGTTGCACAGGAGAAAGAATTGAAAATAGTCTGAGAAATACAGTAGGCACTGCCTCTCTCCACTCTTCCCTTACTATTTTGACAAGTAATACCACTTGTTCACAACTCACAGGAGTAACATTCATGCCTGTCACTCTTTCTTAACCACACCTGAATCTTAACTCCCCACTGCAGCTGTCCTCTTTTATCTTTACTCTTCACTGACCACCCTGGTAACACTAATAACTTTAATGAATAAGCCTTATAAATACTAGTTTATAGTTTATTAATGCTATTCATATAATCAGTTTTTTTTCATTTTGAAGGTATATCTCGTAATACTCTTTTTCCTTATTCCTTATCCCCATTTCCCTCAAATAGTTCTTCCTCCTTGTCTCAAGTATGTTGTTTTCTAGTTTTTACATGATTCCGATTTTCTCCCCCTCCCCCTTATTTTCCTTCACCCTCTCTCACCTCCACTCCTCATCACTCCCTTCCTAACTGTGGTGGTGTGTCCACTCGGTCTGTCTCCTCTCTCACCTTTCTTCCACCTCTTCCCTCCCTTCCTCCCTCCCTGCCTCCCTCCCTGTCTTTATCTCTGACGGTGTGTCTACCGACTGTCTCACTTCCTCCTCGGCTCCACACTTCCCTCCTCCTTTTCCACCTCCCCTCCACATCTCTCTCACATCTCCCCCTCCACATCTCCCACCCCTCCCTACCTGTGGTGGTGTCTCCCCACCGGCTCTGTCCCACCTCCCCTCCCCTCTCCCCCCCTCCCCTCCCCTGCAGAGACTCTGACAGGCATGCAGAAGCTCTGCTCTGACCTGTGCAGTAACAGCCATAGTGACTCCCGTCCCACCTCCCCATTCAGACACCACTTCCTACCCCATAGCCAAGGTAAGACAGGGCCCTAGTCCCCCATTGTCCCCACTCCCAAGGCAAGCTGTGTCACCTCCTTCAAGTCTTCCTGCCTCAGACTCTATGGCTAAACTACTCCCTACCATCATCTTCAGCCCCTATATAGTGCCTAGTGAAAGTCTGCACACCCCTTGCACAGTTTTCACATTTTGCTGCCTTAAAATGTTATCTAAAAGGGATTACGTTCAAAGTGAAAGAAACATTATAGAACATTTTCTAAATGAATTTAAAATATAAAACAAAGATGTCTTGATTGCGTTTGTCTTCACACCCCAGCGTTAAAACTTGGTGGAAGCACCTTTGGCAGCAATTACAGATGTGAATAATTTTGAATTAGATTCTACCAACTCTGCACAACTCTTATGGCAACATACTGTATATCCATTGCTTTTGTCAAGATTGTAATGCCAAAGACACGCCAGAATGGATTTCCAAGAGGTGTTGAGTTTTCCTGAGTTTTCCTTTTCCTGACTTAAATCTGCTTGAAATTCAGAGACTAAGTTTTTATATTGCTGTCCATCAATGATTTCCAACCAAATTTACTGAGCCTGAGCCAATTTTGACAAAAACAATGGATATATTTTGCCATAAGAGTTAAAAATGATTCACTGCTGACAAAGGTGCTTCCACCAAGTATTAACTCCGGGGTGTGACGACATATGCAATCAAGACATCTTTGTGTTTTATTTTTTATTATTTAAGAAACATTTATATATATTTTTATTTTACTTGGGGTATGTAGACTTTCACTAGGTGTATACTGTTGCCATGCACATTTGATGTGAAGTGAATGTCAGAAGCTAGCCTGGTCCCAAATCTGTTTATGCCTTTCTTGCCAACTGACTGGCAAACAGATCTGGGACCAGGCTAGAGACGTCTCATCTGCTGTCATGATATAGACATGCAGCCTAGCTCACTTAGACCAGGGGTTCTGGTCTAATTTGAATTCATTCATGTGATATTTGAGTGACTCAAACATTTCAACAAGATCTATGGGCTAAAAAACCTAGCTAAAGAAACATGCCCCCCCTGCCGATCCCTCGCATCTCCCCTAGGGGGCGGCGCACCCCACAGTTTGGGAACCACTGACTTAGACCAACCATCATGCCCCTTAACATATGTTCTCTTTGACCTCTGACCTTTACTGGACCTCTGGACATTTCGACACATGTTTGTATTTGGTAGTGGTGATGGCCATGTACGCACTTTGAAATGTTTTTTTTTCTCCACTCAAGTCACATTACTGGCATTCTGCCTGTTCAATGATAAATCCTGGACATTCAAATTAGTATGAGATGTTACATTTGGTATGGTTACATAAGACAGATGGTTACTTAAGGCAAAAATAAAAGTAGGGTGGATGGGTGGGCGTATATCGCAAACGTCTAGCAACCCGAAGGTTGCGAATTCAAATCTCATCATGGACAACTTTAGCATTTTAGCTAATTAGCAACTTTTCAACTACTTACTACTTTTTAGCTACTTTGCAACTAAGCATGTTAGCTAACCCTTCACCTAACCCTTTTAATTAACCCTTCCCCTAACCTTAACCCTATTAGCTAACCCTAACCCTTTAACCTAACTCTTAAACTTAACCCTAACATTAACCCCTAACCCTAACCCCTAGCCTAGCTAATGTTAGCCAGCAAGCTAACGTTAGCAACCTAGCTAGAATTCGTAACATATCATACATTTAGCAAATTCCTAACATATTTTACGTTTAGTAAATTCGTAACATATAATACGTATTGTAATTCATAACATATCATACGAAAGGGGCGATGGACATCCACATTCCATACGAAACGTAACATATCATATTAAAAAAGTGTTCCGGATTTACTTACAGAATAATACGAAATGCTTTGAGACAAGGTTGGCCTGCATGCTTTGGATAGGTCTAGTATTACGTCATGGCTACAGTATGTTACTAACCTCCGGCAATGAGATTAGTAGGATTAGGGACGGGTTAGGGTTTGATGAGTAACATTTTTCAGCATACATCTAGCTTGAATTAATTTAGCTATCTGCTCAGACACCAATTGTTTGGGATAAAACATGTTTTTTTTTAATGATAAACTGGATATTAGATATGATATCAGTCTTTTGGCCTTTTGTGTTTTGATGTTGTTTGGTTGCATGCTAAGGTGTGTCCTCATCCTCATCTATTGTGTTATGATAGGGACAAACAGAGTGAATCTGTAGCTGTACCAAACTCAGAGTTGCATATGGTTCATATTGTATGCTCTGGTATGCTTATTGTCTGCTGTATGCTTTAACTACAACAACTACATGATTTTCCCATCCATTGATTTGATAACACAGGATCCTTCAATAATTCTCAAAACTCTTTCAGAGTAAAGTAACATCCCCTTGCGTCCATTTTTATGCTTGACCCTAATCTCACATGCCAGACTTTACAGCTATATCCAATACTCAGGGACACTCTTGTCTGGCTCTGCGAGATTAGCTTTCTCCAAATTTATGATTTCCGTATGGTTGCCCTGCTTACATTTTGTTCTTGGTTCTTCTCATCGGAGGTACTGATCCACCCAGCGGGCGGAGCTCCCCTATACCCCAACGGCCAGAGAGCCGCCCGGTCACTCCGCCTCTCTCTCTGACCCCTAAACATTTCCACCTCCCAGGTAGGAGATACACGGAGCGCACCCTGTCACTGTCACTGCTACCTGAGACTTTCTATCTCTCGCTCTCTTTTATCACTCTCACTCAACTTCTCTCTACCACTTTTTCCATTTCAATAATGCTTTTGGCTCATGTGTCACTGGAAAAGTGTTTGCTACGTATACATGAAATACAAAACACTGGGCACAAACTGGTTGAATCAACGTTGTTTCAACGTAATTCGTCGACGTATTGTGACGCCGATTCTACGTGTAAAATACATTCAAAAATGTCAACATAAACAAACCTTGTATAAAATGTGTTGAATTTGTACCTTTAAACCAACGTCAGATCTTCAACGTTATATCCACTATCAGAAAAACAAACAATAAGCTGGGCAGCACCTCCTACTGGAGAATTGATCTATCTACACATACCTTTGGTCTCCCATCCAAAGTTTTAACCAAGCCCAGCTATGGTATTTGTCACTGACTATTATCAATGTGCTATCGTGAGAGTGATTGTTGATAGATCCCCATTTTAAAATGAAATAGATCGACCGCTGCACCACTCGGGAGGCCCTAAGGTACTGCATCGCAGTACTTGAGGCGTCACTACAGCCCCAGGTTTGATCTCAGGCTTTGTCACAGCCAGCCATGACCGGGAGACCCGTGAGGTGGCGCACAATTGGCCCAGCGTCATCCGGGTTAGGGGAGGGTTTGGCCGGCCGGGATTTCCTTGTCCCATCACGCTCTAGCAACTCCTTGTGTGCGGGCCGGGTGCCTGCAAGCTGACTTTGGTCGCCAGCTGGACGGTGTTTCCTCTGACACATTGATGCGGCTGGCTTCCGGGTTAAGCGAGCAGTGTGTCAAGAAGCAGTGCGGCTTGGCAGGGTCGTGTTTCGGAGGACGCATGGATCTCGACCTTCGCCTCTCCCGAGTCCGTAGGGACAAGACTGCAACTATTGGATATCACGAAAAAGGGGTAAAAGTACAAAAACATATATAATAATTTAAAAAATCATAAAAACAAATAAAATAGATTCACTGTTGCTATCAAAGTCATTCCAAAAGGTAGGTTTAACAGAGCAAAATGACATTTAACCATACTTTATCACTCATTTTTCATCAATGATGATATTTAGGCCTATATATAATTTGCAAAGTCATCAACAGCTATTGTTTCAATTCAACCCAGAATTCAACAAAAAATTAGACAATACAATAGGCCTAGGGTTTTAAGCTCTGGCTGATTTCAAATGGAATGATATTTAGTGATTGAAATCTGTTTGGTTGCCAACGCAACCAAATATCAACATTTGAAGGAGATGTAGCCTCTATCTTCTGATTGGATAGTTCCATCTGTGCCACTGTATTAGTCTGGCTTTAATTTCAGTGTGTCTACAAAATAATCATTGATATGTTGGATTCAACTCCATCTCAACTAAAAATCTAAGTTAAAGAATAGGACTAAATAAAATCAAATTATTTAAAGTGCATTTAAAGTTGGATTTGTTTTGATTTAGTCCTATTCTTTAACTTTGATGTTTGATTGAGATGGAGACGTGAATCCAACGTACCAATTATTAATTTGTAGACAAACTGGAATTAAAGCCAGACTTATGGCCTGAACTCACCAAAAGCGAGCATGTGATTTATTTTTAAATGCACTGCTTTGAATTATAATGACCCAACCGAAGCCGGGCGGGCAGGTTGTCCGCTTTGACGCCTCGCTCATTTAGAACGTGTCTCGTTTTTTTGTGTTTTATTGTTGCCGCTGTAGTCACACACATTTTTTTGTGGTTGTCATTATTCACTTTTTTTTAAAGCTCATTTGAATTGGAAGAGGTAGCTAAAGATTGAGGCTTTACCATACATGCTAAATTAGGCCAATTCATCCACTTATGGAAACACAACATCGCTATCAGCAAAGATGATTGGAGATATGGACTATCCTGCTAGCATACAGTCACTGTTCTGCCTGTCCGGTCCTTTCCACCCGCCTCGCTCTGTTTGCTCCACCCACCCGTTTCTGGTGAGTTAAGTTTTTCGCTTAAGTCAGTGGCACAGATGGAACTATTGAAGCAAAAGATAAATCTCCTTCAAATGTAGATATTTGGTTGCATTGACAACCCAAAACAATTCAATATCACTTTTGTAATACAGTTAATAGCCTAAAGTTAAAGGAGCAACATGCAGAAATTTCCTGGTTGCTAAAATTCTAATAGTTCGCCTAATTTCAGTTTATGTGACAAAACAAGCACTATAAAGTATGTAGAGAATCATTGTCCCATTTAAACCGCTGTGAAATATATTTTCAATAACCGAAAATATTGTATTTTCAGCTGGTTGAAGCTGATGTACAAAACCGAAAGTAAAAGAAATAGAAATAGCGCACATAGAACAGATCTACAGCTTCTTAGACTTGCTTTCAATGAGTGACAGATCTATAACTATGTGAATTTGGTCGGGTCGCCCAAAAAGTTACATATTGCAGCTTTAATAACTAATGTAAAATTCTACTTTAAAATGGTTAACACATCCATGGCCACATTCCGAGGTGATGGTAACTATACATTTCTTCTTATGTAATCACATAAAGTGTTCTAATTCAAGATATCTTGCGTAGGTCATCGCACAATGCTGTAATAATCTGGCAGAATCTCGAACAACATTGATCAATTGCGCCATTTACTTTTAATGTAATCTCAACTGCAATATTTTGGTTCAGCCATTAGATGAAGTACAGTGATAACACATTCATCTGTTGTATAGATAAACAAAATATCTGACATTGTATTCCCGTTTGAACTTTGCTGTGCTTTTAAATGATTGAAAGCGTGGAGATAGCCATTTGGGTGACAATTACACCAAAAATCAGACATTGTTTTTCCATTGGAATCATTGAAAGCATAGTGATAACACATTGGAAATTCAACTAACTTTTGTCTGTCTTTTTGGGTGATTATATCTTGTAATCCCATTGATCAACATCTCAACCAAATATTCCCCGATTATCCACGTTGAAATGACGTGGTGTGCCCAGTGGATTTTGACTATGTCTTTCTCCCGTTGCCCTTTCAGATCAGGGGATCAACATTTACAGGAAACCACCCATCTACAAACAACACGGTACATTCACTCTCTGTGACCTGGTTTCACCAGCATTAACAGCATGAATAATTATACTGATTGCAAATAGAGGCAGAGCCTTCCAAGAGCATGACTTCTCTTAGCAGGGACATGATATGAGGAGTTGGTTTACTGTAAAACAAGCGTGATTATAGAAAGAAAATAGTGTCACGAACCTCATTGGCTAATAAAGAAGATCGATAAGCTTCGCAATACAAAGCAGCACCTTTTAGTAATGGTATAGAGTTGGTAGACTAGATGTCAATGAGTAATATCTGGGTCCTTTCAATTATGTTTTTCTTTCAGTTTGGATTGAAATTGTGTAATCACCACATTGACCTCCAATTGTACACCATTTACTGTAACCACATCCAATGTCAATGTGTCAATACTGTTTGAAGTCTCTCTCGCTGACCAAATACTTTCTGAACACTTTCTGAGAATCTAGAAACCTAAGCAAAAGATCAAGGCATGTGAGCCTACAGTACCCCATAATCTACAAAGAAGGTTTGGGATGGCAACTTAATTCCCTTAAATATTATTTATTGCTGACACGTTTCGGAGCGTGGTCCTTCTCCACAGTGGTTCTGTAGCCCTTTCCTGCTGTCAAATGATCTAGTGGCCTCATGGGTGTAAAGTTAGTAATATTTTTCATAATTAATAAACATTCAAAAAATTACGTTGAAAATCTGGTGTTTCTATGTCAAACTGTTTTGTTATATTTCAGTCTTCTGTGATGTATATAAAGTGTAATATTGTGATGCAAAGTCAAAATGTATTGCATTTCACCTCTATATCTGACATGGTACAGGTGTCTTCTTTTTTTGAGCCCATAATGTGTGTGTGGTGTATACTTTTGTTTCAAAGTAGATTTGTTTAAGACTTCCAAGAAACACTCTGTGTGACCCTGATTTAGGCCACTGCAGTAAAATATTTTAAAGAAGATGCATGCTCCGAAACACGTCAGCAATAAATACTATTGAAGGCAAATAAGTTGCCATCTTGAACAGTCTTTTAAGATTACATTTTTACATTCCTAGGACTGAGCACCCCTTCAGCGGTTCAGACAGTATTATAAATCTTGGTTAGAGCGCCAGCACACTACAACTATTTACATAATCTATGAACAATTTTGAATAATAGGTGTAAATGTAAGGTTGGGGGATTATCTTTACCATGTACACAGCAAATTTGAGATCAGAATTTTTACATCCACCGTGTTAAACGTAACACTTTCTTAGTGTGTATACTGAATGTGACCCACTGAAAAAGTGTTAAACTGTTGCAAATTCCAACATAAATTAACATTTATTAGAGATGATGCTTTTACAATTTATTTTTGTTAGGGAATCACATGTAGTGTGTTTCAGAATCTTTGTATTTTTTTGGGTGTGGGGTGTAAAGCCTTATTTACATATTTCCCAGCATGCCTTTCAAGTGAACGTGAGAGATACCCACCCATGTTTGTTAGTGACAGAGACATGGTTGTTGCATTCATTACATTCCAGCCTTGAAGCTTTCAGGAAGTGACTGCTTAAGTGATAGTGTTTCAATTGAAATAAACCGTTTATCGCCATATTATGCAGTGGGGGGAAAAAGTATTTAGTCAGCCACCAATTGTGCAAGTTCTCCCACTTAAAAAGATGAGAGAGGCCTGTAATTTTCATCATAGGTACTCGTCAACTATGACAGACAAATTGAGAAAAAAAAATCCAGAAAATCACATTGTAGGATTTTTAATGAATTTATTTGCAAATTATGGTGGAAAATAAGTATTTGGTCACCTACAAACAAGCAAGATTTCTGGCTCTCACAGACCTGTAACTTCTTCTTTAAGAGGCTCCTCTGTCCTCCACTCGTTACCTGTATTAATGGCACCTGTTTGAACTTGTTATCAGTATAAAAGACACCTGTCCACAACCTCAAACAGTCACACTCCAAACTCCACTATGGCCAAGACCAAAGAGCTGTCAAAGGACACCAGAAACAAAATTGTAGACCTGCACCAGGCTGGGAAGACTGAATCTGCAATAGGTAAGCAGCTTGGTTTGAAGAAATCAACTGTGGGAGCAATTATTAGGAAATGGAAGACATACAAGACCACTGATAATCTCCCTCGATCTGGGGCTCCACGCAAGATCTCACCCCGTGGGGTCAAAATGATCACAAGAACGGTGAGCAAAAATCCCAGAACCACACAGGGGGACCTAGTGAATGACCTGCAGAGAGCTGGGACCAAAGTAACAAAGCCTACCATCAGTAACACACTACGCCGCCAGGGACTCAAATCCTGCAGTGCCAGACGTGTCCCCCTGCTTAAGCCAGTACATGTCCAGGCCCGTCTGAAGTTTGCTAGAGTGCATTTGGATGATCCAGAAGAGGATTGGGAGAATGTCATATGGTCAGATGAAACCAAAATAGAACTTTTTGGTAAAAACTCAACTCGTCGTGTTTGGAGGACAAAGAATGCTGAGTTGCATCCAAAGAACACCATACCTACTGTGAAGCATGGGGTGGAAACATCATGCTTTGGGGCTGTTTTTCTGCAAAGGGACCAGGACGACTGATCCGTGTAAAGGAAATAATTAATGGGGCCATGTATCGTGAGATTTTGAGTGAAAACCTCCTTCCATCAGCAAGGGCATTGAAGATGAAACGTGGCTGGGTCTTTCAGCATGACAATGATCCCAAACACACCGCCCGGGCAACGAAGGAGTGGCTTCGTAAGAAGCATTTCAAGGTCCTGGAGTGGCCTAGCCAGTCTACAGATCTCAACCCCATAGAAAATCTTTGGAGGGAGTTGAAAGTCCGTGTTGCCCAGCGACAGCCCCAAAACATCACTGCTCTAGAGGAGATCTGCATGGAGGAATGGGCCAAAATACCAGCAACAGTTTGTGAAAACCTTGTGAAGACTTACAGAAAACGTTTGACCTGTGTCATTGCCAACAAAGGGTATATAACAAAGTATTGAGAAACTTTTGTTATTGACCAAATACTTATTTTCCACCATAATTTGCAAATAAATTCATTAAAAATCGTACAATGTGATTTTCTGGATTTTTTTTTCTCATTTTGTTTGTCATAGTTGACATGTACCTATGATGAAAATTACAGGCCTCTCTCATCTTTTTAAGTGGGAGAACTTGCACAATTGGTGATGGCCTAGTTGTCCTTGACATTTTGGTCTGAAAATGATGGCTCATGGGCCACATCAGACCTGCAAGTCACAATATGCTGGTTTGTGAAATTATTAGTAATTCCTATCAGATTCCAGCCATTCAAAACAACTGTTATTGAGAAGGACTAAAGCAAGACTACCTAAATCATTTAAAGGTGAACAACCATCTCAGTAACGGGTGCAATAAGTCCAACTCCTTACAGATTGGATTAGTTTAGAAAAGGTTATTTATATTTGTATAGCATAAGATCAATGAATCAATCAATGTGCATGCAGAAACATAGATATTAAAACAAACGATTCTAAAAATCAAACTGCAACAAATCATGCTGGGAAATATGATAATGAGGCCCCTCCCACGTCTTTTCTACTCTGAGAGAGTTAACGGAAATGAACTCAACACAGTAAAGTACGCGGTGTTGATTCCACTGTGTTTCAAATAACACTTCATCTATTCACTGCAGGTGGTGTCAGTTTCAATCCCACTGGTGTTAACCCCACTCGAATCAACACTCAGATATAACACTCACAACACCTTTTTACCTCAAATTTGCTGTGTAGAGATTATCACACAACATTTCAGACAGATGATGATGAAATGTTCCGCTGTGGTTAAGGGGATTAAGGGGACTCACTCAGACACTGATAGTCCAGTTCCTCTGGTTACCAACTTAGATTCACCCACACCAAAAAGAAAGTCTGCTGATGACATCATCAGATCCGCTACGTTTCCTGCCGCCCATGTCCCCCGTCCGGATGACACATCACCAAGCGAGAACGACCACTGGCCCCCCTGCTCTCCCTCCCTGGCCCTGGCTGCCTTAGGTACAGTAGGCTCCCTATGAGCATGCTTGCCCTGCCCCACCTCCCTCCCCTTAGAGGCTCACTACCCCTAACCAAACCCTGAACTTGTCCCTGTCCAGAAACAATCACTAGTCCCTACCCTCTAGACATTTGTGGAGATCTGAGAGAATTTGATAGGTTTGAGCAATATATCAATAGCTCCACCTTGAACTCTGATAGGCTAGGTGGAATTTCTGCCATATTGCTTTTCCAAACCTCTCAGATTTCCACAAGTGTCTAGGATGTAGGAGTTTGGGTTCTTTATGGATAGGGCATAATCTCACTCTTATGCACTTGTATCTTAAACCCACCACTAAGCTTTATTGCATCCCTGCTCTCACTACAATTTGACTCTCTGGAACACAGACTTTTACAATTATTTTGCTGAATTTTGTGCAATGCTGATGAATAATGGATCCTTGAAAGACTATTGTTATTGGCGTCATGTCACGTTTTGCTTGCTACAGCTTTAGTTGCACCTTCCTTTACAGCTACCTATACAATCAATCAATTGATTGGTTGATGTACTGTACCTAGACCATTAACAAATGACTTGGACAGAGCTAACTGAGACTGGCTTCAAACTGACCTGTCTTCCTACACTGTGTTGTTCTGTGTATCAAACTCATAGTAAAAAGCTCATCTTGTGAAGACTGTTGTATTGTCGGTGTTAACATTCTGTGTAGCTGAGTAGTTGCATTGTCTTTGTGTTGTCTGTGTATATGTCTAGTCAACTCTGTCTCACATTTGTGTTCTCCCACACCCCTGTTGCTGGAAAGATAAATCCTACAGTACTTTTGTAAATCCTTTAAAAAATCCTGTAGAGTACTTTTGTGAATGTGATGTCCACAGATGGAAGCATTCTATTATGCCTTCTGTTATAGTTTTGGACAGTCTTGTTTTACTGTATTTAACACTAGTTCTCGGTCAAGATGCCTGTAATTCACACACAGTTATAAGGGTGTGTGCGTGCCTGCCTGTGTGTGTGTGTGTATGTGTGTGCGTCTGTGTTTGTGTGTGTGTGTGCGCATGTGTGTGTTGGCTTATTCGTGGGTTGTGTATGCCACTCAAACGTTCAGAAGGAGGAAGGAGACGGTCTAGGGAAGAGGAGGAAGAGGAGGCTCTGAAGAGAAAGCAGATCCAGGAGGAGCATATCAACAAGGTTAGAGAAGCCACATTCATACACTTACTCCCACAATCACAATCACACCCACAAACACACACAGGTAGGCAGCTCTGCTCTACTATTGTATGTTCATAAAAAGGTATTCCTGCAGATACAGTATACTGCTTTATAGTATATAGTATATAGCATGTACAAGCCTTTATACTGTATTATAATAAGGTTTATATTATGTTTTGTTTCTGTATGTATCAACTTTTTAACTGACTCAAAATAGCTGGTATTTAGTCAGTATCATTATAAGATAAAATATATTATAAGATATTATTATACATGCTCATGACAAGTCTTACAATGCATTATACCTGCAGGCTTTAAGTTACATTTTACCATATGTTCTGTGTGTCCCCAGATCCAGTCTGGTTTGGGGAAGCTGATAATGAAGGAGGAGAATGAGAAGGAGCAGATCAGGGAAAGTCACGCACGCAGCCAATCAGCTCAGCGCTATGAACCCCATCAGACCAACTGTGATGGAGGTATGTTCTGACCAACCTCACCGTATAGTAACTAGCACATTGTTTTGGAAGAACCACATCAAATGAACTGTAAATAAGGGTCATATTCATTAGGTACCAAACTGAAGAAAGCGATCTAAAACGGATTGAAACACAGAGTTACTATCTGTACTTGTCCAATGTAACAAACAATTTTTTTTCTTTTTTTCTGCAAAACATTTAGAAATCTTTGGGTATGATGTGCACCAATTAACAATATCCTGGTCAGGTCCAACCTCAAACGCAACCCTATCAAATAAACAGCACATAACACATTTGAGATCAGAATTTTAACACCAAAAGTGTTAAAAGTCACACTTTCTTAGTGCGTACAGTGCCTTCAGAAAGTATTCACACTCCTTAACTTTTTCCAAATTTTGTTGTGTTACAGCCTGAATTTAAATTGAGATTTTGTGTCACTGGCCTACACACAATACCCCATAATGTCAAAGTGGAATTATGTTTTTTTACTTTTTACAAATTATTTAAAAATGAAAAGCTGAAATGTCTTGAGTCAATAAGTATTCAACCCCTTTGTTATGGCAAGCCCAAATAAGTTCAGGAGTAAAATGGAGTAAAAATGTGCTTAACAAGTCACACAATAAGTAGCATGGACTCTGTGTGCAATAATAGTGTTTAACATGATTTTTGAACGACTACCTCATCTCTATACCCCACACATACAGATAATTGTAAGGTACATCAGTCGAGCAGTGAATTTCAAACACAGATTAAACCACAAAGACCTATTGGTAGATGGGTAAAAAATAAAAAAGCAGACATTGAATATCCCTTTGAGCATGGTGAAGTTATTAATTACACTTTGGATGGTGTATCAATACACCCAGTCACTACAAAAATACAGGCTTACTTCCTAACTCAGTTGCCGGAGAGGAAGGAAACCGTTCGGGGATTTCACCATGAGGCCAATGGCAACTTTAAAACAGTTACAGATTAATGGCTGTGATAGGAGAAAACTGAGGATGGATCAACAGCATTGTACAGTAGTTACTCCACAATACTAAGATAAATGACAGAGTGAAAAGAAGGAAGCTTGACTAGAAAAAAAATATTCCAAAACATGCATCCTGTTTGCAATAAGGCGTAATAAAGTAAAATTGCAAAATAAATGAACTTTATGTTCTGAATACTAAGCGTTGCAAATCCAACACATCACTGAGTACCATTCTTCATATTTTCAAACATGTTATGGGTATGCTTGTTATCATTAAGGACTGGGGAGTTTTTCAGTGTAAAAAAGAAACAGAATAGAGCTAAGCACAGGCAAAATCCTAGAGGAAAACCTGGTTCAGTCTGCTGTATATTTGACCTTGTGTTTTAGGTTATTGTCCTGCTGAAAGGTGAATTTGTCTCCCAAGCAGACTAAAACATCACCCATAATGTTTTTTCCTGATAAAAATGCTCAGAATTTTATAAAATGTACTTTTTCTCTCATAACAAACTACCAGGAAGTCTGAAAAGACAGACCTTACCTTGGCGGGCGGTTTCTTGAAAATACATATGTCAAGCAAAATGGACCCAGTGAGCAGTGTTGCAGTGAGATTATCTCAAGCAAATTTGCTGATACACAAAGCAACTCAAACAACATTGAAATTGCATGCAACATCCAATCCTGTCATATATCACATCTTGGTTTCAGAAATGATTTGTATATCCAACTGTTTGGTTCTTGGAAAAGCATCAATATAGACAAAATGTTTGCTGTATAATTTAGCTAGCTAGCCCAAATGGAATTGTCATCACTGTTTTTCAAGCTAGCTTGCTAGTTCATCTTGTACAACTTCAGTTGAAACTTTACACGGTGAGGTCTGGGTATATACTGTATGTATATACAGTGCATTCGGAGAGTATTCAGACCCATTGACTTTTTCCACATTTTGTTACGTTACAGCCTTAATCTAAAATGTATTAAATTCATTTTCTACACACAATACCCCATAATGACAAAGCGGCACACACCTGTCTATATAAGGTCCCACAGTTGACAGTGCATGTCAGAGCAAAAACCAAGCCATGAGGTCGAAGGAATTGTCCGTAGAGCTCAGAGACAGGATTGTGTCGAGGCACAGGTCTGGGGAAGGGTATCAAACAATTTCTGCAGCATTGAAGGTCCTCAAGAACACAGTGGTCACCAAGGATCTTCCTAGAGGAGAACCTTCCAGAAGGACAACCATCTCTGCAGCACTCCACCAATCAGGCCTTTATGGTAGAGTGGCCAGATGGAAGCCACTCCTCAGTAAAAGACACATGACAGCCCTCTTGGAGTTTCCAAAAGGTTCCTAAAGGACATTCAGACCATGAGAAACAAGATTCTCTGGTCTGATGAAACCAAGTTTGAACTTTGGCCTGAATGCCAAGTATCATGTCTGGAGGAAACATTTACATTACATTTACATTTACATTTACGTCATTTAGCAGACGCTCTTATCCAGAGCGACTTACAAATAGGTGCATTCACCCTATAGCCAGTGGGATTACCACTTTACAATATCTTTTTTTTTTTTTTTTTATTTTTTTTTTAGGAGGGGGGGTAGAAGGATTACTTTATCCTATCCCAGGTATTCCTTAAAGAGGTGGGGTTTCAAATGTCTCCGGAAGGTGGTGAGTGACTCCGCTGTCCTGGCGTCGTGAGGGAGCTTGTTCCACCATTGGGGTGCCAGAGCAGCGAACAGTTTTGACTGGGCTGAGCGGGAACTATGCTTCCGCAGAGGAAGGGGAGCCAGCAGGCCAGAGGTGGATGAACGCAATGCCCTCGTTTGGATGTAGGGACTGATCAGAGCCTGAAGGTACAGAGGTGCCGATCCCCTCACAGCTCCATAGGCAAGCACCATGGTCTTGTAACAGATGCGAGCTTCAACTGGAAGCCAGTGGAGTGTGCGGAGGAGCGGGGTGACGTGAGAGAACTTGGGAAGGTTGAACACCAGACGGGCTGCGGCATTCTGGATGAGTTGTAGGGGTTTACTGGCACAGGCAGGGAGCCCAGCCAACAGCGAGTTGCAGTAATCCAGACGGGAGATGACAAGTGCCTGGATTAGGACCTGTGCCGCTTCCTGTGTAAGGCAGGGTCGTACTCTCCGAATGTTGTAGAGCATGAACCTGCAGGATCGGGTCACCGCCTTGATGTTAGCGGAGAACGACAGGGTGTTGTCCAGGGTCACGCCAAGGCTCTTCGCACTCTGGGAGGAGGACACAACGGAGTTGTCAACCGTGATGGCGAAATCATGGAACGGGCAGTCCTTCCCCGGGAGGAAGAGCAGATCCGTCTTGCCAAGGTTCAGCTTGAGGTGGTGATCCGTCATCCATACTGATATGTCTGCCAGACATGCAGAGATGCGATTCGCCACCTGGTTATCAGAAGGGGGAAAGGAGAAGATTAGTTGTGTATCGTCAGCGTAGCAATGATAGGAGAGGCCATGTGAGGATATGACAGAGCCAAGTGACTTGGTGTATAGGGAGAATAGGAGAGGGCCTAGAACTGAGCCCTGGGGGACGCCAGTGGTGAGAGCACATGGTGCGGAGACAGCTTCTCGCCACGCCACTTGGTAGGAGCGACCGGTCAGGTAGGACGCGATCCAGGAGTGAGCCGCGCTGGAGATGCCCAGCTCGGAGAGGGTGGAGAGGAGGATCTGATGGTTCACAGTATCAAAGGCAGCAGACAGGTCTAGAAGGACAAGAGCAGAGGAGAGAGAGTTAGCTTTAGCAGTGCGGAGAGCCTCCGTGACACAGAGAAGAGCAGTCTCCGTTGAATGACCAGTCCTGAAACCTGACTGGTTTGGATCAAGAAGGTCATTCTGAGAGAGATAGCAAGAGAGTTGGCTAAAGACGGCACGCTCAATAGTTTTGGAAAGAAAAGAAAGAAGGGATACTGGTCTGTAGTTGTTGACATCAGTGGGATCGAGTGTTGGTTTTTTGAGAAGGGGTGCAACTCTCGCTCTCTTGAAGACGGAAGGGACATAGCCAGCGGTCAAGGATGAGTTGATCAGCGAGGTGAGGTAGGGGAGAAGGTCACCGGAGATGGTCTGGAGAAGAGAGGAGGGGATGGGGTCAAGCGGGCTGGTTGTTGGGCGGCCTGCAGTCACAAGTCGCAAGATTTTATCTGGAGAGAGAGGGGAGAAAGAAGTCAAAGCATAGGGTAGGGCAGTGTGAGCAGGACCAGCAGTGTCATTAGACTTAACAAACGAGGATCGGATGTCGTCAACCTTCTTTTCAAAGTGGTTGACAAAGTCATCCACAGAGAGAGAGGAGGGGGGGGGGGGGGATTCAGCAGGGAGGAGAATGTGGCAAAGAGCTTCCTAGGGTTAGAGGCAGATGCTTGGAATTTAGAGTGGTAGAAAGTGGCCATAGCAGCAGAAACAGATGAAGAAAATGTAGAGAGGAGGGAGTGAAAAGATACCAGGTCGGCAGGGAGTTTAGTTTTCTTCCATTTCCGCTCCGCTGCCCGGAGAAACCTCGCACCATCCATACGGTGAAGTATGGTGGTGGCAGCATCATGCTGTGGGGATGTTTTTCAGTGGCAGGGACTGGAAGACTAGTCTGGATCAAGGGAAATATGAACGGAGCAAAGTACAGAGATCCTTGATGAAAACCTGCTCCAGCGCGCCCAGGACCTCAGACTGGGGTGAAGGTTCTCCTTCCAACAGGACAACGACCCTAAGCACACAGCCAAGACAACATAGGAGTGCGTTCGGGACAAGTCTCTGAATGTCCTTGAGTGGCCCAGCCAGAACCCTGACTTGAACCCAAACAAACATCTCTGGAGAGACCTGAAAATAGCTGTGCATTGACGCTCCCCATCCAACCTGACAGAGCTTGAGAGGATCTGCAGAGAAGAATGGGAGAAACACCCAAATACAGGTGTGCTAAGCTTGTAGCGTCGTCATACCCAAGAAGAATCGAGGCTGTAATCGCTGCCAAAGGTGCTTCAACAAAGTACTGAGTAAAGGGTCTGAATAATTACAGT